TAAATATAAAATATTGTATGTGTGCACGTTAAATGTTTGTGCATTTGGTTATATTGTTTGTGTGTGGTTAAAATATTGTCTGTGGGCGTGTTTATTTTGCCATGTGTAGAAAATAGTTGTTCGTGTGTTCATCTATGTTGTTTGTGAATGGTTAAAACATTGTCTATGTGTTTGCTTATTTGTCTCTGTGTAAAATATAATATAATTGTTTGTGTTTTTATTTATATTGTCTGTGTGTGGTCAAAACATTTTTGTGTGTTCGTTTATTTTTTCATGGGTAAAAAATAATTGTAATCTGTAAATTTAGATCCTGTAATTTATTTATAATGTGGGAGTGTATATTCAATGTTTGTATGTAGCATATACTATTATTTTAACATATGTATGGGTATAAACAATATAACATAAAACACACATAGAAGACTCCAATCATATATTGGCACATGTATAAATAGAGAACAGTGTATTGTGTATACGAATCAATGCATTATAAGTATTCCACTTCAATTAGACATGCATTGTCTGTGTTTTCATGCCGTGTCTTTTGTATTCACAAAATGAATTTGAATTTTTAGAAGGAATTGAAATTATGGTATTAATACATTATTTAAGTTGATTGAAAAACTAAAATGTTATCTATACTCATTTTGGTGATTTGCTGTAGGTAAAATTATTGTCTATACACAGATAAAATAAATGAACAAATAAATAATATTTTAACCATTCATAGACAGTATAAGTGAAGACATAGCTGATGCTTTGACTATGCACAGACAAAATACTTTTACACAGAATAAATGAAATTACAAACAATTATTCAACCACACAAACAATATAAAGGAAGACACAGACGATATTTCAACTACGCACAAACAAAATAAACATACACACAGACAAAATAAATGAACACAAAGATAATTTTTTATCACACACGGACAATATAAACAAAGATACAAAATTACCACACCCAAGCAACTCATATGAACATTTTAGGTATAATTACCACATACGTATTGATGGAAACTAACTTTGAAGTTTATACAAGTATTAAAGGTCGGAAATGGCTTTCACATGAAGCGTCTAGCTACAATTTTGCATAAAATTCAGTTTAAGTTTATGACAATTGGAGAAATGCGAGGAACCAAACAAAAAATTTGGGGTATGAGCTTGCGCGAGATTTGGTTTAGTAATGTCAATCCTCTCTTTCTTAGACTCTGAGTCAACTTTGAAGGTGCCACCACACATCTCGGTTGAGTTGTTCACCCGCGACACAACTTTCAACTCATTCAGGGGTGCACATAGCTCCTTAAACCTCCGGAAGAAGTGAAAAAGCATCCTGAATTTGGAAACAATAAATCACGTATTAGTATTCCAATCTAAATAACATAAACTAAGCTGCCATATAGTGCAAGAACCATATCCAAAGACCATAATTAGGCTTCAAGTGTTCATAATTACTGGTAAATTATAGAAGTGCAATAGTATATTAATGATGGTAACTCATCATACATGATTGAGCATCAATTTCATAATGACATTTGGTTAAATCACCATCCTCCCCATCATTGCAAAAACTATATCCATTTATAAATGAACAACAAAAACAAGCTTCAAGCAAAAACTAGTAAACCAAAAAACCAACCTCACAAAATAATTCATATAAACCATCTTAAAACACTTTAGTACCTAAAGATATAAGACTGTCTTCTAAAAAAATTGACTCACTACATGCTTTTCTGAAAATAAGTACTACATATCAACTTAAACTTGAAAAAACTCAAGAAAATTGTAGGGGTTGTACTTGCCTAATAATACCTATGCAAGAGGAGTTAACTTTAAAACATCACAGGAAAAAGAAGAGTTAACTTTACAGTCCATTTGAATAAAGCAAAACTAATGGAAATACTAAAATTGTCAAAACACAATAATCTAAATTGGAAAAAAGAATTTGGATATTAATTAAATATAAAAGCACATTATAACACAAAATTAAGAATAAAATAATGTTATCCATGATGGTCTTAGTATTATATATTCATGTTTCTAATATTCAACAAATATTTATTGCAACCCTTTCACAAACACTTCATGTGCAAGAAAATAGAATAGAATGCTTAAACTATAAAATCAATAACCAACGTCACAAATTGAAAAATGAAAACAAGTAGGTAAATAAACATCTTCACAAACACAAATTGAGTATAAAAATAGAATTTAAAGCTAAAGAAAAGCCATTAATTATTCACTTCTCGTAAAATCTCTAAATCCCTAAATTCACAAAAGAGAAATACAAGAGATTTTTTACCATTGGGTTTCTTTGGTGATACTCAGCCGTGCGGGCAATAAGGTTTGGCTCTATGAGGCGGAATAACCGTAAATAGTAATCGCAAATTTTCAGAATAAAGCAACCAAGCGGCGATGATTCCATACATACATACATACATACATACATACATACATACATACATACATACATACATACATACATACATACATACAGGGGCGTAGCCAGGACGGATGTCTACCCTGGGCCGACTTTACACTAAAAACATTATATAAAAATTTTAAAAGCGACAATAGTGTAAACATAATGATTAAAATCCATTAAAATTCATAGTAATATTTTTAAACAATACATACAATTGAGGAATTAAAACGTTAACTGAACACGACGCTCTTTAACCTTAGCAAACTCATCTATGACAGACTCAACGTCGATTTTGATGCCAAATTCCTTTTCAATAAATATGGTCAAACGATCGGCAAGAAATTCACCTTTCATCTTATTACGAATTTCATTCTTCACGAGTTTTATTGCAGAAAATGGTCTTTCTGTTGTTGCAGTCGAAAATGGTAAAGTCAATACAAGATGAATTAATCTTGTAATCATTTTGAAGTGTTCTGCTTTTCCAGATTTGACTAACTCTTCACTCAACTTCGCAAGAGAATGAACTTGAAACTGGAAATTTTGAACTAGGTGAGGTTCAAAAAATTGCAACTCACTCTTCAAAGCATGCCTCTCGTGAGCCTAAAAATCATCGGGATAAAATTCCAAAGCAAGCTTGTAGATATCATCAGCATTATATGATTCAAATGAATTTTTTGGATCCAAACCCACACTAAGTCGAAGCAATTGAACTGATGATTCGTTGAATCTACACTCCAACTCTGTCAATTGAAAATCAATACTTTGGGTGAAAAATTCATAACGATAATAATGCTCCATATCTACCTCTTTTTGACCACGCCTAAGCTTGCTCATCATGCTAGGCACATGAATTTCATGCTGCAAGCAAAAGTTTTTTACTTTCTCAAACAAGCTCTCTCACCCGTCATTTCGCAACTTTTGAAGCAAATCTTTTGCGGTTTCAACAAAACCAATTGTAGATAAAATGTCAACATTATCTCTTTGTAATGCTTGACAAACAAAATCTATTATACGCATAACTGCTTCCATTAAATGCAAACCAAATACAAAATCAAAGCTCTTAACACTAATGCAAGCACCATCGGCTTCAGTTCGAGCTTTGGGATTTGGACCATCACATGCAATACTCATAATTAAGAAGTGTATTGCAAGAGAATGAACTTGAAACTGGGAATTTTGAACTAAGTGAGGTTCAAAAAATTGCAACTCACTCTTCAAAGCATGCCTCTCGTGAGCCTAAAAATCATCGGGATAAAATTCCAAAGCAAGCTTGTAGATATCATCAGCATTATATGATTATATCATCAGCTTGTAGAGATAAACATCTCTATCATACTCAAGATAGAATCATAATGAGAGCCCCACCGAGTAGTACTTGATCTTTGCAAGGATGTCATTTGATTTTTTCCTCGGCCTGAATCCCTCTCACCACGAGCTAACATACCAATGACTTCCAATCTATGTGCCTCTTGTAATTCTGTGTTTCGCTTTGGTGAAGATTTTTCAATGTTGATAACTTTATCCAACATCGAAAAAAATTTCCAAACTGGGTCACATTGTTTAGCTGAGGAAACTAGAGTCAACTGCAACCTGTGTGCAAAACAATGCACATAATATGCATATGGACAATCATTCAAAAATAATGCTCGTAATCCATTCCACTGTCCACGCATATTACTAGCACCGTCATATCCTTGACCTCGCAACTTGTGAACCTGAAGATTATACTCAGAAAGAACCGCACTTGTTTCATGTTTACGTGTTTCAGAAGAAGTGTTAGAAACACCTTTAATCAAAAAATTCCACCGGGAAGGCCCTCAAAACGTGGAGGCCGCACGGCGGCTCCGGTAAGGTATACCTTACCGGAAGAGTTTCCTATATATATATACATATATATATACATATACATATATATATATAAAATGCAGTTATGTTTCAAAATATTATTTGATTGCCTTCTCGGTCAATTTTTTAGCTGAAATTTTTTGTGGATAAACTAGACTTGATGAGGAACATTCCATAAAAATTTCATCAAAAACTCAACCGGGAACCGCCCCAAACGGCGGTGGCCGGACGGAGGATCCTGTCCCTCCGGCTGGACACGATCTTTTCCGTACACACACATACATAGGGAAGGCCCTCAAAACGTGGAGGCCGCACGACGGCTCCGGTAAGGTATACCTTACCGGAAGTTTTTCCTATGGGAACTCTTCCGGTAAGGTATACCTTACCGGAGCCGCCGTGCGGCCTCCACGTTTTGAAGGCCTTCCCGGTGGAATTTTTGGATGAAAATTTTTGAGCATGTTCTTCATCAAGTCTAGTACATCCATACCAAATTTCAGAAAAAAATTCAATCGAGAAGGCAGTCAAATGATTTTTGGAAGATAACTGCACCCTTTATATACATATAAAACGCCAGTTATCTTACAAAAATCATTTGACTGCCTTCCCGGTTGATTTTTTTTTTTGAAATTTGGTATGGATGTACTAGACTTGACGAAGAACATGCTCAAAAAATTTCATCGAAAACTTCAACCGGAAAAACCCTCAAAATGTGGAGGCCACACGACGGCTCCGGTAAGGTACACCTTACCCGAAGTTTTTCCTATATATATTGATTTTAGTCCTATGAAGCAATTTCTACGTAAAATATTGAGAGGACGAGCCAACGACTATCTAAATCACGCCATAGGAATATACATTTCCATTTTCGGATCTGAAGCTAGGAGCTGCAGTGTGAGACCAAAAAGAGAATCCGCGAGACAGGGGAATGGCGGCGTTTGTAAAGCTAGACGATTCCCCAATGTTCCATAAGCAAGTGAGATTTCTATTTACTTTTTTAAATTTTCAATTTTTCGTGGTTTATTATGCTTGGTTGGTTATATATTTGATCCTTTTTACTTCAAATTTCAACATTTTTCTAATCCAGGTGAGATCTTTGGAACATGCCACAGATGAACTGAGAGACCGCTGTCAAAAGCTATACAAGGGGTGTAAGAAATACACGTCAGTATAAAATTCCGACCTTGCTTGCATAATGATATGTTTCTCAGCTTCTTTAAAAACGATTTTTCCACAATGTAGTTTTCATTAGTGTAATGAATAGATGGAGCAATAATCATTAAGACTAGAATTATATGTGAGGGCTCACTGGTTTTACTAGAAGGGATGACAAAGTTGTTACTGAATCTAGATTTGAAGTAGGAAGTTATAGTGTCTCCCTAACATTGGTATTCCTTTAGTAATACAAGAAGAAAATTTAGTAACCTCTTATTTGGTTCATAATAGGGTAAGGGATTCTGTATCATGATAACACGGGGGAACAGTTCTACATAAAAAATGAAACTAATTGAAGGAACTTCAAAAGCATAAATCATATTTTGGATAGAAAATATCTGCCTCAATTTAATGCGAGCCTCTTGAAAGCGACGTTCTATTTTGAAAAGAGGAAGCCATTTTCTTGAAAGAACTTTTTTTTTTGTATCTTTGTGGTTTAACCATAATCTGATATCATGCATCGATTCATGTTAGCCAACCCCAAAATCTTTTGGGATTAAGGCTTGGATGTTGTTGTTGTTGTTGTGGGTTAACCATTATTAGCAGTGGAAAAAATTCATCAACATACATCTTTGTGCAAACAAATAAAGCATAAAGCTTGTTTTGAACTGGGTGAAGACAATGAGATACCAACATGCATATTTATTTGTAGTAAGAGAGAGAAAGAGCAATGTGAGGTGCAATTAGATGGCAAAGAGCTAACCAATTAATGATTTTTTCAAGTATTTAGGACATGCTATATCGAGATATTGAAAAGATACGGCACATAAGATTAATACAGGCTGGCTCAAATAGAAAGCAGTAACAAAATCCATGTGATCAAAATGCATCCATTAGTTTAAAGAGATTTTACATAACTGCTATTGACCGACTTTCTTGTATTGATCTTTAAGTATGAAAAAACATTTATTGAAGAAGATGAGTGTGTTAGAAACACATATGTTGCACCAAGTGTATGGTAAAACTCAAAGAGTTAGAATCCGGAACGAAGTGATTTATGAGAGAGTGTAGCCGCTATTGATGATAATGTAAGGGATGGCGTGCTGGCTGGTTTAAGCAATTTGGTCCCCGAATTTACTTGGACTAATGGGTGTAAAAGGAAGATAAAAGTTTGGAGCTTAATAAACATCTCAATATGGTGCACGATAGAAAAGAGTGGAGAAGAAGAATCTTGGTGGGTTGACTCAGGAGTTTTTCTATTGATTCATGCATCCGACTGTTAATTTGGGATTAAAGTTTGATTATTGGTTGGTTAAAAAACATGAAGTTTCATAAACCCTTGTTTGGTTCGAAGTGAGGAAGAGATGTCACGAAAGAAAAATGAGAGAGTTGCAAATTGTGTTGTTTCATTAACTAAAAGTGTGCCTTAGAGTTAGTATTTATCACTGTTATAAAAATCGGGCTAGGCACTAGATTGTGTCAGGCGCTTCGGTATCTATGCAATCGGTTGAAAAAATCAGTCGGGTGCCTAGGCATGCTAGGCGGACCTGGATAGATAGGTTCTCATTCCAACTATTTTTCTCCGCTTTGTCCTAAAAACACCATTTGATCAATACTTGATGTATTCCTATTAAATTTATTTTAATATTTCCTACAATAAAAATAAGTTGTAAATGTTTATAAATCTTTTAGAGACTAAAAACACAAATCTCTTATTTTATTTAAAATTTTCTATTATTTATTTTGTTATTTATAATTTTACATTTTTACTAGAAAAACATATCATTTGATAATGGTATGAGCTACGTCTATTGTGTCAAAATATTATAAAATAATTAATAAATAATATTAAAAGTCACACAAAAAAATAATAAAACAAAAGAATAAAGAAGAATACCTAGGCGCCCTACGTGGCACCTAGGTGGGCTAGGCTCTAGGCGGCCAATAACTTCCTGACTAGTGCCCAACGCCTTTTAGAACATTGATATTTATAATAATATTAATGTTAATATGAAAAAAATGTAATATTTACTATCTAAAATACTTAGTATAACTGTTGATATCACCAGTTTTTAGGAGAATAGATCTGAATCATGTGATATAATAATGAAACAAATTTGAGAAGTATCACTTTCGTAAAATCCCACAAGGCCACAATTTGGAGGAACAACATACCGGGAGTTTGGGAGAATCTATATCTCCCCCACTCTCTTCTCCATTCCTCCTAACACTTCCAACTTAACCCCCCCCCCCCCCCCCCCCCCCCCCTTCTCTTCACTTCTCCCTCTCCAAAATCTTCCCGCCAATCAAGGGCTAAATGATTTCTTAGGTATTGTGTGTTGCCTGAGCCCATATATAAACTAACAAGAACTGCAGCAAAGCAGAGGTTGGATCTTAAATCAAATCACCGCAACCCATTTACCCTCAAAGCTTATTACCTCCGCTGTTAGGTCGTTGCAAAGATTTTCTTTGCTCCTTCCAAACTGTAGATTTGTGAATTGTGACAGTCCTTGACTAGGAACATCCAAATTAGAAGATTAGAATTCTTAAGTGGAGAGTGCAAGCACAGAACTTCAATTAAAAAACAAGTGAACCCCACCAAGTGTGTACATGCTTAGTTTGGTTTAGAAGATTAGAATTGTCCGATTTCCTTCAATGTCTGCTCTTCACTTTGTAAGTCTTGTATACTAGTTTGAACTCATTCCCTTGGCTTTCAATCCTGACATTATAGAGAAATTGGGTGTTGCATTATCTATCTGTTTGACATTGTGTTAATGCCACCAGTGAAACTCTTGGAGAAGCACACAGTGGGGACAATATCTTTGCAGACTCATTGGAGGCATTTGGTGGAGGCCAAGATGATCCTGTCAGTGTGTCAATTGGAGGTGACTCATACTGTTTTAGCTCTGCATTTTTTATCACGGCGAAGTGGTATTCTAGTGATAAGGATGTTAATTGAGCGATATAAGAAACTTTCCTTTTAAAAACATTATAATGCTCAAGGTTGTACTGTTTTCACCACACACACATGTCCCGACATATATAAATACACACATACATGAATGAATGGTAGCCACCCAGTGAATGATATTGAAAACAGAAAATTACTTAAAAACCGCTTTAGTGTTTGTGTCACATTTGTCTTCTGATTATGAGCACCCCAACCCTCACACCAAGAATAATTCCAGGTGAATTGCTTGTATAATGACTTCTACCTACAACAAAAAGGTCTGTAAAAGAGTATTTCATGTCCAGCAACCCATGTGAAGATCAACCACTGTCCTCTGTAACGTGGCATTTAAATTGTGACATTTTTTTAGTGTTTTGTTTTGTGAGAAAGGGTTAAATTACTTAAATGAACTTGGAAAAGGATCAGATTTAGCACAAAATGGATGCTCGTTCATTTTTCTTCACAGTGACAATGACTATGTGAAATATAAGATTCATTCTTATTGATATGTCAAAGGGTTACACAAGGTCTATACATATAGCTACCACTAGGGTTAACTACACAATGTTAGCTGAGCCAATGCAGTTTAAGATCTTGTTATCTGCAAGCTGATCTGTCGTGCTGAAATAACTTGTTATAGTTTGCCCATTTATAATAGTCTCTCGGAGTAAGTTACAATCAACAATATATGTAGTCCTCTCATGAAATCATGATTTACTGCGTTAGAAACGATGTGCATTGCGGCTTGGTTATAACACATTAGTTGCACCGGTATCATGCTTCCATTGAAAAAATCTTGAAGATAGTGCTTTAACCATAAACTCCCACATGCAGCAAGGGTCATTGTACGGTATTTTGCTTCAACACCTGATCCGGAAATTATATCTTGTTTCTTAATCTTTCATGAAATCAAGTTTCCACCAATCAAGACAATAACCAGAAGTCGAAAGTTTGCCCGTCGGGCATCCAACTGAATCTGCATTGCAGTATCTCACAATGTTATTATGGCCTCGGTCTTCGTAGAGTAACCCTTGACTTGGTCTTTTGTTTATGTATCTCAAGACTCGAGCAGCTGCATCCCGATGGCCATCGTACGGTTTACCTAGGGCTAAGTATACTAACTGTGAAGGATATGTCTGGTCTCATTCATTTTTCTTCACAATTTGTCAATGACTAGAAATATGAAATTCCTTTTTTTTTGTATAATGTAGGAATATTGGCAAATGAAATTAGCAAAAAACTATGAAATTGTCTTAATAAAATGTTTCATATAGACAATAGACATTATGTATCTTTGCCTTCATATAGGCTGGCTTAAACTAATTTATTTGATTCATTTCTAGTAGAACTTTTTTGCCTTCATTGTTTGTAGTTTTGAACCTTACAGCTTACAGAACTAAAGAATTGATAGTTTTCTTTTTCAAATGTGATCTATATCCCCAGGCCCAATAATGTCAAAATTTGTTTCTGCATTTCGAGAGATTGGAACATATAAGGATCTTCTTCGTTCTCAGGTAAAGTAACATATCATGTTTTCAAAATAGTTTCAGATGGAAAACAGGCAGCTTGACCGAGTTTGTGTTTAAAATAGTGAAGCCACTTTATATTTTTGGATTTGTGGTTGCTAATTACTACCTCCGTTTCGACTTAAGCTTCTCATTTAATAATGGCTCAGTTATTTAGACAATAATTAAATAAGGTAATTCGAGTATATTTTCAGAAGTAATTCTGATGGGTATATAATATAATGAGGTCATTGATTATAACTGTGATGTTATAGCCTTATAAGTGTATTATTTTTACTAATTGATGATTAATTTGTCAATTAAGAGTGTTAATTATTTCCTAAAATAGAAATGAGAAGCTTTAGTTGGGACGTCCAAAAAAGGCAAGCGAGAAGCTTAACTTGGGATGGAGGGTGTATTTGTTAATGCTATCACCTATTACCTTTTCGTTACTAGTTTTCTCTCTATTTCCCTATTTTTGGTTAAAATAAATTTCTTTATCAATCTTTGCAAATGCAATGTTTTCCACTGCGTTTTGAGCTTTTGATTCATGAAATTTATGATGTAAATTATAGGACAGTAGATGTAGCATTATATCATATTCTATAAAGCATACATGCTTCGGAGGTTCTGTTATCCTTCACAAATTGTGGTTTAATATACTATGCATCTAGTGAAAACATGATCATTTTTTTTGTAGGTGGAGCATGTACTGGTTGATCGACTTACTGAATTTTTATCTTTTGATCTGCAAGATGTGAAGGTAAATCATGATTTGGGGCCTACTTTTATGCTTGGTGGGAAAGGTTGTAGGGATTTGTTGTAACTTGTTGTTACTGCAGGAATCTCGTCGCAGATTTGACAAGGCTAATTCCGCTTATGACCAGGTAGATGCTCACGCCTTGATAAAAAGCAAATACAAATATCTGCTCTTTTGTTTTATTTGGAGTATTGACCTTGATTTTGCAGACAGTTTCTGTTATTTTCCAATCTTCCAAATTTATCTAAGGTGACCCTTAACAACCTAAGTAGGTAGTGAAATAAAAATTTTATAGAAAAAGAAAAAATGCAGAAATAAAAACAAGGATACAGAACAAATATATCCGTCTATATGCCAGGGGACACAAATTCCCTTAATCTATTTTTTGGCTCAAAAATATGTGATAGCCAACTTTTAACTCTATAATTACCACTCCTTAAAGTTTGACTTGCTAACCTGGCCGTTAGTTAACATTAGCTTTTGTACCATTTTCATCACTACTTTGTAAAAGGCTTGGACTAATAAAGTGGCAGAAATCACGGCAGAAGACTCTCCAAGAAAAACATCGCCTTCTCTAATTTGGCACCAGACCTACACCTGTTCTGGCTGTGAGAGAAAAATTGCGGCCACATTCACCTTCAACGCGTGTCCAATAGCCTGAGAAACTTTCTGAGTGCTATTCAAATCAAATAAATGGGATGTCCAAACTGGGAGGGAGATCCAGACATTGGCAACAAAGGATTTCGTGGCAGTGAAATATGCAGTCATCATCATCATTACCCCAGTGCCACAATTGCTCCCACCTACGGTAGGGTAAGAGAGTGAAATATGCACTCCATCGGAAAAATCAATGCAGAAAAGCACCATTTTTAATACAACAACATCCAAGCCTTAGTCCCAAAAGATATTGGGGTCGGCTAACATGAATCGATACAAAAGCACCATTTTTATTGCCTACCTTAAATAGAACCGTGACACAGTCTGTCATAGAAAATTAGAGAAAACGTCTTATGCGAATCTAACATATCTGTACATTCCCATCTAGATTGATCTAGTAAGTCGTACCACAGGTTTTAGAGGAAAAGGCCTTGTGTGAACAGTGGTTCAAAATTCATTCTCTTTTGACCATTGCAAACTTATGATTGTATTGAGCGACATCCCAATTATAAATGATGTTCATTCCCATTTGAATTCTAGATTTGCCTAGTCTAGAGAGTAAGAAATGGTTGTTGTATGTTGCACACAGTCATGAAAAGGGAAAATCATAAATTAAAAAACGTATATGTCTATAAGATATTCTTTCATATATATATAAAATGGGAATAGTGTATGAAAGCTACACTATTCTTTCATGTTCTTTCGTATATATATATATATATATATATATATATATATATATATATATATATATGCGTGTTAGGAATAGTGTATGAAAGCTACATGTATATTTCTCTGTAATAGAATGGTAGCTAATAGTCTCTTAGGCTTCTGTCATGTTAGTTCTAAGTCTGTTGAGACTTTCACGTGTATAAATACTTAGTAACAACTCATTCTCAATAAAAACTTTTCACTTTCATCTTCTTCCTTGCATATATTCTAATATGGTATCAGATAATCAGAGTTTTTCTCGTTCCAACAATGACGAACTCTATTTCTGAATCCACATCTTCGCAAACTTCTTTGCAACCTACCGGGAACTCAGTTTCTCCCGTAATCTTCACTCATCCTTTATCAATCAAACTGGATTCAAATAATTTCTTGTTCTAGAGACATTATGTTGAATCTGTAATCCGAGCGCATACACTTCTCAAATTTATAGAAAATCCTTTGATACCAGAACGCTTTACTATCAGCGACGATGGAGCGACAAAAACAATCACTTCATGCTCGCGTAATCAGTTGTAGACATTCACATCAGCTTTGGATCGAAATTCAGATATTCTTCCGACCAATTGGACCAAACATTGTCGCAAAAGCTCGCCAGCTGAAATCCGAGTCGTATAACACCGGTAAAGGCGATCGCTTCATCTCCGACTATCTGCTTTGCATTCAGACCATAATTGATAACCTAATGTCCATTGGCGAACCTATATCCACCAAGGATCATATTAATGTGATCCTTGAAGGTCTTCCAGAAGACTATTAGTCGCTCATATCATATGTTAATGCTCGAAGCATCTTGGATCTAGTTACTATCTCTGAACTTGAAGCTCTTCTATTGGCCAAAGAATTGCGACCAAGAAAACTTTACGACTCATCACAACAAACATAATTTTGTGCCAACGTTGCTCGCCTTGAAGTTTCTTCTCAATACAATGATGCTGAATCTCAAAATTCTTCTGAAAATCCCTCAGCTCAGTTTGCTCAGTTTGATAACTCTGGTGGAAATCCTACCTATAGAGGTAGATCTCGTGGAGGTTTTAACAGAGGTAGAGGTGGTCGTTTTGGTGGTCGCAGTTTTGTTATTTGCCAGGTTTGTGGCAAAAATGGTCACAATGCTCTTGTGTGCTATCAGAGATACAATTCATCCGATACACTTCAAATCCTAGCTCATCAAACCAATGGAATCTCTACTCATCTCATCAACAATGACCTCATCAAAATCCTTTTCCCATGATTAATCAATACTTGAATCAAATCCATCCACCATCATCTCATAATCCAACATCACCAACTCATCGTGCTCCACCACCTTTCAGTTGGGGATCACAACCATATCCGTTTGCACCACCTCATAACCCAACTGTTCCAATTGCAACCTGGGCTTGTGCAAACTCATCTGTGCTAGGACCAGCTCCAAACACTCCGAATTGGTTTCCATATTCAGGAGCTACACACCCGGTCACAGCTGACCCCTCAACTTTCAACACAGTGAGCCGATTGCTACAACTGATAAGCTCTTTATGGGCAATGGACAATGGTCAAGGTTTGGACATTGAGTCTATTGGTTTTTCATCCTTTCCTTGTTCTTATCAATCCCCTCTCTCTCTTTCTTAATAATATTCTACATGTCCCTGCTATAACCAAAAATCTTTTAAGTGTTAGTCAGTTTGCCAAGGATAATAATGCAATCTATGAATTCCATCCTTACAAGTTTAACTAGAAACACTTAGAAACTGGTATATTCCAGCTTCTAGCTTTTAACTTTAAAGCACTTTTTTTTAATCAAAAGCTGGGATTACCAAACACTTTTTTTAGCTTTTTGATAGGGATAGACCTATTAGGATATTAAATAGAAGAGTTAGTGTAGTTATATTTCTGTTTGAGCTAATAAATACATTCTGTTAGTTCGGATACTATAAATAGATGTAAAGTGGGAATAGTTGGGAGGCTTTTGGACTGTTTTGTCTTGGGACTTGGGAAGACTGAGACTAATAATCTCTTTCTTTGGGGAGCTTCGGCTTTTGGGGGCTTCGGCCATAGCTTCTTGTTACTGTTCTTCATCAATAAAGCTTTTCTATATTGTTTCTTGATATTCTTTTCTGTAATTGTCTTGAATTCCTTGAGGATTCTATCACTTTTTTAATCTAAAAGCTAAGAAGCACTTAAAAAAAGTAATAGCAAACACACCTTTAATCCCACCCTACTGTTAGCCACTGAGCCCAAATCAGTTAAGCAGGCTTTATTGGCTAACAACACTTGGTCCTTAGTTTCTCTTCCTCCAAGAAAGCAGGCAATTGGTTGCAAATGGGGGTTCAGAATCAAGAAAAACTCAGATGGATCTGTCAATAAATTCAAAGCAAGGTTGGTGGCCAAAGGATTTCATCAAAGGTTTGGTTTTGACTTTGGAGAAACACTTTCTCCAGTAGTTAAACCTGTTACTATTAAAATTCTTCTCACACGGGCAATCTCTAATCATTGGTCTATTCAACAACTTGATGCCAACAATGCCTTTCTAAATGGGGACCCTGAAGAAGAGGTTTACATGGCACAACCTCCTGGATTTCAGGTCTAAGGACACTTCTCTGGTTTGCAGGTTACACAAATCTTTGTATGGCGTCAAACAAGCTCCCAGGGTTTGGTTTCACAAACTCACTTCAGTCCTATACAATGCTGGGTTCAAGCAAAGCAAATGTGATCCTTCTCTACTTATCTTTCTAGCTTCTGGAATACAAATCTACATCCTAATCTATGTTGATGATATCCTAGTTATTGGAAACAATGGTACTGTCATTCAGCAGATCACTCACAAACTACATTCCTCATTTTCTCTCAAACATTTGGGAGAAATAGATTTCTTCTTAGGCATTGATGTTCAAAAACTCCCAGGTGGTTGTTTACACCTATCTCAAGCCAAATATGTCAGAGATCTTTTACGTAAAGTTGGGATGTCAAACTCCAAGGGAGTCAAAACACCCATGGTGAGTGGTTGTAAACTCACCAGTGAAGGCAATGATTATCTTCCTGATCCTTCTTACTACATATCTGGATACTACCATAACCAGGCCTTAGCTTAGCTATGCTGTGAACAAAGTGTGTCAGGAACATTGAAAAGCTGTGAAACACATCTTAAGATGTCTATTTGGCACTATTACTCATGGACTGATCATCAAACCTCTTCCTTATCCACTATGTCTCTACCAATCTCAGCCTTCTGTGATGCTGGCTTGGCATCTGATCCCACAGACAGGAAATCCACATCTGGGTCATGCATCTTTATAAGCCCTAATATCATTTCTTGGTGGTCTAGAAAACAACTATGAGTTGTCAGATCTTCAGCAGAAGCTGAATATAGAACTTCAAGCACCTTTTATCACTCCCAGAGTTTACTGTGACAATCTTAGCACAGTTTAACTTGCTCACAATCCTGTACTGCACTCTCGTATCATACACATGGAACTTGATCTCTTCTTTGTACGAGAGGAAGTTAAACTCAAGCAGCTTGAAGTATTTCACATTGGTGCTCCTCAACAAGTGGCAAATGTGCTAACCAAGCCTCTATCTGCCTCCACATTTCTTGATTTCAGAAACAAACTCAGTGTGATTGGTTTTCCAAAGCAATCACCCTCAGATTGAGGGGGGGATGTTAGGAATAGTGTATGAAAGCTACACATATATTTCTCTGTAATTGAATGGTAGCTAATAGTCTGTCAGGCTTTTGTTATGTTAGTTCTAACTCTGTTGAGACTTTCACGTGTATAAATAAATACTCTGTAACAACTCATTCTCAATAAGAAGTTTTCACTTTCATCTTCTTCCTTGCATCTATTCTAATAATGCGTGTACACATATATTTTTTCATCTACATGTATACATATTTTTTCATCTACATGTATACATATTTTTTCATATAACTTTGCTAAATAACCAATCATGGAAATAGTGTACATGCTCAAAATGTAGAAATAATTGGCATATTAGTACAAATATAAAATGCAATACATGCTTAGCAAATCATTATAAATTTCTATGAAGACACTTATTTAAAAAAGAAAAAAATTGAAGCTCAATGTTTCTGAATTAATTAGGGACACAAGCTTCTCAGTTAATGATTACGGAAATGATACAAAAGTGGGAATTTGATGTTTCTCTGACACGCTTCCAAGTTTCTGAAATGGCAAAAGTGAGGTGTGGGATATTTTCGGGCTTCTTAGGATGTACATAAGTTGACATAACTCTGTGTTTATCTGACACCAGTTTCTTGTTTTGAGTTAGCGTATGATTCATTTTATTAAACCAACTTGAGTTTGAAGAGGAGTTGAAATTATGCAAGTGAGTTACTGAGTAATATTCCATGATACAAAATGTGATAGGAAGTGCCTCACTCTTTGTCTTACAAAGCTACACTACACTTGTATGGTTTCTTTACCTTCCTTTTTCCTGGACTTTTAACTCTGTATTAACAAATATTGGTTATCAATGAAATGCTAGGCACGGGAAAAGTTTGCCTCTTTAAAGAAGAGTACACGTGATGACATCGTTACTGAACTCGAAGAAGTAACATCTCTCCTTCCTACCATATGTTTTTGTCTGTATGCCTGTATGTTGCTCTGCGTACTTCCCTTTTTTATCTGATTCCTTTTGTCATTGTGAATACGTGAAAATAGCTAAAAACAGAAACTGAACAGTACCAGGTTTAATATGCTTACAAGTCAGTGATGTAGTTGGACAGGTGAATATACACTGCCATTCCTGAGTAGAGTTTCCCTGGTTTTACAAAAATGTTGTTTGATTGCAACGAGTTTTTCTTATGTTTATGGGACAGTTACTGAGGTCAACCACTCAACCTTAGATTTGTGACATTTCTCAAAATAATCCCCTCTTGGTTTTCATGTTTTGAAATAACTATGAGGTAGACCAAAATATCATGAGAAATTTCATGGTGAAGCCTTTGTTAAATTAATATTACAAAACATGTAAATAGGATGGTCATGTTGTCATTGTGAGAAACATGTATATGGTGGGAGGGTCATTTTGAGAAGTACCACAAACCTGAGGTTTACCTCTGAAATTTTCCCTATTTTATTGATTAGTTTGCTGGAAACGTGTCCTTTGAGACTCAAGTTGTGTAGTTGTAGAGTGATGCCGATTAGTTGTAGGCCGAGATGAGATATAAATTGCCATGTCCTCTAGGTCTTTTGATGCTAACCTCCTTCCGCTTCCTATCAATTTCATGATCACGTTTTCACAAAGTTATGTGAGAACTAACTTTGTTAGCCTAGTCAATTGATTCTTGAATGTCTGCCCATGAATATTTCCATTTCATGTCTGTTTTGCTGCTTCGGTCTTCTGTAACACTTCTGTATAACATTTAATTGTTTGAGCTAAATGTAGTTAACTAGTTACTAAAAACTAGGTTTTTTTGCCAACACTCATCTACTAAAAGTTAAAATTTTCCAATAATAAAAATCATATTCTTATTTTCTAGATGAACAGTTCTGAATGATTTTACTATCTACTTGTGGCTTTAATAATTATGCTGCATACCCAGCGTTACAGAGGACGGATAGCGATCATTTGCTAATATCTTTGAAAATAGTGAAACCAGATGTTAGTAGCCAAAGCTGTAATCACCCATTTTTCTTATTTATAACTCAGATATTGACTCAATCTGTTACAGGACCTACACAACTCAAAGTCAGCTTTTGAAAGAAGCCGCTTTAATTTAGTACGTGTGGTGCATTATTAACTACTTGGTAGTTGCAATTGAAGATCACCACCAGTATGCTCTAATCTTATTTCATTGTTGGTTGTAACTTGTACGGAATTCAGGTAAATGCTCTCATGAATATTGAGGCAAAAAAGAAGCATGAGTTCCTGGAATCTTTTAGTGCGATTATGGATGCTCATCTAAGATACTTTAAGTTGGTATGTTTCTCTTCTACTAATAGTACAATTACTGGTAGCATTTATGGATCTTCCTCCCGTACCGACCAATACTATTCCTTCATACACCCCAAACAGGGATATGAACTGTTGAGCCAAATGGAGCCGTTCATTCATCAGGTACTGCCTTGCCTTTAGAAAAAACAAATTTAGCTACTTTCCAAAGACATTTTTATAAATTATCTGCAGGCGTTATTATGTTGGTTTCTGTTGTAAGGAGAGGTTGAGGAGTCAGTTTGGCACTTTGGCCTATTCATCCACATTTCAAGTTGTGTCACACTTCGGATGTTTACTAGAACTATGTCTAATATATGTGTGTGAGGTAAACATCATCTTTGAGGGACTATTGAAGAGTTTTTTCCACATCACATAAATATGAAATACCAAAGTGACATAAAAGACGTTGGATTAATTATTCTATCACATCAACTTCTTAAGATGAAGCCACATTTCTTAAAAGGGTACGAGTACCAACTTAATATATAGTTATGGTGCGGACCCCATATAAAAAAATGTGTGTACTGCGTAGTACTAACCGAGATTTCATTGATAACCAATATTTACAAAGCTACACTACACTTGTATGGTTTCTTTACCTTCCTTATTCCTGGACTCTTAACTCTGTATTAACAAATATTGGTTATGTGCGCCTTAGTATTTTGTGTTTTCCCAATATTCAGGTTTTAACATATGCCCAACAATCAAAGGAACAGACCAATATTGAACAAGATAGGCTTGCCAAAAGGATTCAGGAGTTCAGGACACAGGCAGAGCTAGATCTTATGCAGGCATCTAGTAATCTCAGTAGTTCAACAAGTACTTTCCACTCTAATGGGGTTGGTATGAGTTCTAATAAAAATATAGAAGCAATTATGCAGTCCAGTGCGAATGGTGAAGTAAGTAATGTCTTAAAATTATGTTCTCTTTTCATATATTCATCATCCATGACCTTAAGATCTGTAAAAATATCATTGTACATAGAAATCTACTTCGTAACATAAGCAAATGTTTTTTACTATTTCTCTGTAAAAATATCATTGTACATAGAAATCTACTTTCCCTTTTTGGTAGTCCCAAAAAACTTTGCCACTTTCCCATTAAAGTCACTATTCTGTGGTTCTGCTCATTTCTCTCTCCTCTGCACAAACTTCAATCACACAATTTTTACTATTATTTCTCACCTAATTCAAAGAGTGAAAAGTCCATTGGGACGGAGGTAGTATATTTAATGTTACTTTGTTCTATATAGTGCAGATGCTAGACTTCAGAGTCTGGTATTTTATATTGAATATTTGATATGTTTCAACTTCCAGGTCCATATAATCAAGCAGGGGTATATTTTGAAAAGATCCACCAGCTCAAGGGCTGATTGGAAGAGAAGATTTTTCGTTCTAGATAGTCTCGGCAACTTATATTATTATAGGCACAGTGGTCGCAAAAGAGTGGTATACTAACTAAAGAGTTTCACTATCTTATTGATGACTGAATAGATACTTTGAGTCTGAAAAATTATTAGACTGTCTAACAAATAGCATTCCTTGTCCAGGAAGAGGGTGTTATATATAAATCATGTTTTTACTGTGGTATTCCCTATTAGTGAATTTAACATATTTTATGTGGCGTTGCATTCTCCCTTATGCATCCATCATTCAGAAGCCATGTCCATCTTAATATTTCTTTAGGAAGTAATTTGGGCCATTGGGAAACTTAGTATATAATCTTCTTTTTTCATGTGATTTCTAAAGGAAAGTGCCCTTTTGATATCAATTCATTTTTTATTTTAATCCTACTTGCAACATTTTTCATATTTGTATCAATTTGAATCAAGCATCGCCAAAAAAAGAACAATTTGAGTCAAGCATCACCAAAAGAAGAACAATTTGAGTCAAGCTAAATATTACATCTGGCCCTACTGTTTCTTCTAATCATCTAAGTGTAGTTGTATACTTACATCATATATGCATGCTATGTAGCACACACATATAATGCTTGTGGTATGCTATGTAGCATACCACAAGCATATAAATGAGTATAATAATAAGCAATACTCTTAGAGGAAGTGTAAGCATTTTGGATGATACCTTCATAATATATAGCTGGGGCCTGTGGCCATTATCTTGGCCAAGTGTCGACTTGCACATTAAGCCTAACCTTTTACTTTCAAATATTTTTTTCCAAATCTATTAAATTAATGGGTCATTCGGAAACAGTCGACCTGTGCTTTAGCACGGGGGTAAGGCTGCGTACATCTGAACCCCCTTACCCCACCGTAGGTGGGAGCCTTTACTCATGATCATTAGTGAATCATCAACTGGGGTTCTGGTTAAGTAAAAAAAACCTTCATTTGGCGGCACATTTATAGCTAAAATGAGTAGATGTCTGTTCACTTGCACATTGATTGTGATCTTTTATTTTTCAAATAAATATGACATCTATTTTTCTAATAAGTAACAACACCATTTATGTCGCTGAAGATATAATTGGATTTTGGGAAATATTTTTATGTGTGTACACTACTAATGTCTTCTATAGAGCTTTAATGTTCCCTTCATAATTTCTATAGTGCATATGTGTGCTGTACAAGTTCAACTGTTCAGCTTGCTTGATATATCAATTTGACTTCACATATTTTTTCTTTCTCCCAGGGATCTCCACCACCTGGTGTAGAGCACAACAATAAGGTATTTAGTAGATTTAGAGCAAGATATCAAAAGTCATCATCTCTTGGAGAAGAAAGTTTGGGATTTCACACTGTTGATCTTCATACTTCAATAATAAAAGTTGATGCTGAAGATACAGATTTGCGGCTATGCTTCAGAATAATTTCACCATCAAAAACTTACACATTGCAGGTTAACATTTGAAAAGCATTTTTATTATTGTTTCTGTAAGTATTACTACTATTTTTTTACACCTGTTCTTGTTATTGTATTATTAATTTTAACAAAAATATTGTTAACAGAAAGACAAACTAACCAGGCAACATTAGAATGAGTAAATGAAACCGATTGAGATAAGGAGCTCTATGTTATGGGCGTTCATGCAGTGATAAAGGCAGGTCTACACATCTTGGACAGAGCTGTGTAACACCCCGGGACTTGAAATTTGTCAAAGCCTTATGCAATTAAAATAAATCATCCTACCAAGAATCATTTGCAATGGAGCCAAACATTCACTATTATTTGGCTCGACAATATGATGGAATAAAGCAAAATGGCTCACTAAACTGTCTGTGCTTCATTGTTATGGAGCAGCAATCACACACAATTTTGGATGCGATTTTCACTATGGGTCATTCGGAAAGAGTCTCTCTGTGCTTTAGTACAGGGATAAGACTGCGTACATCTGACCCCCCTACCCTACCGTAGGTGGGAGCCTTTGCGGCACTGGGGTAATGATGATAATGATGATGATCCTACCAAGAATCTTGTTCATCAAGTAAAGTCCCCAAATCTAAAAGAACCATCTGTATGGTAATTAGCCAGAGTCAAGTCCTCCAAACTGGCCGGATTGGACCCACTCTGGTTGGTGTTGATGGCTTGAGGAGGGGTCAGTGCAACACTGGAACTCTGGAAGATAAGGCATTTGTATATACGTGGAAATCCAGATGAGATAAAATCACGGGTCTTTTTGGTGGTGTCGGGAGAGGGCTGCTTTCATTGATTGTAGCTTCTTAAAGCGAAGCTACAATTGATCGGCGAGAGTTCTCTTTCGGATGATGATGTAGATGAGAAGTGGAGATTTCGAAGTTTGATTGAAATTATAGATGAAAGGATTGACCTGAGAAGCTACATTAGACAGTATGAACATGCACTTTGAATCAGGAAATCTTTCTTCAAATGACAGAGATTATCTATGCATAATTGCAGATTGTTCACAAAAAGGGAACTTGTACACAAAAGGGAGATTGCTAGGAATTTCCAAATCATTTGTGACCCCCCTACAAAGACACACGATAGGATTGCCTATATGTTTAATATATCACTAACTCTTGTAAGATTGCCTATATGTTTCTATGATTGTTAAAACTTTCTCCTTGTTTTTGGCAGGCTGAAAATGAAGCTGATAGGATTGACTGGATGAATAAAATAACTGGAGTTATTGCTTCCCTCTTGAATTCTCATCTACATCGGGTTGATTACTGAATACCATCTTCTTTTTATACAAAACACAGTATCTGATAAAGTTTGTTTAAAGTACTTTTATCTGCTGCAGGTTGACTCCGGTAAAACTGATGCCAAGAGTGGTAATGTCAGTTATGGTGCTTGTGTTAATGATATTTCACTTGACAGCATTGAAAGTTCACTGCCGAGTGTGAGAGGTTGTCAAGTTGAGTCAGTCTCTAGAATTCTTAGAGAAATTTCTGGGAATGACAAGTGTGCAGAGTGCGGGGCTTCTGAACCTGATTGGGCTTCTCTTAATCTATGCATTTTGATGTGCATAGAATGCTCTGGCATTCATAGAAATCTTGGTGTTCATATCTCTAAGGTACATGTTTTAGTGATTCCCTAATAAATCCATTTGACTTCAAAATGTAATTGATTGAGCGTGCTGTAGTACAAGAGTAACTTGCTGATAAGGTATGTAGATGCACCTCTTTGCCTGTTGGTATGTAGATGATGTATGTCAAAAGTAACTTGTAGTACTGATTCCCTAATAAATCCATTTGACTTCAAAGTGTAACTTGCTGATAAGGTATGTAGATGCACCTCTTTGCCGCCTGTTGGTATGTAGATGATGTATGTCAAAAGTAACTTGTACAAGATTAATTTAAAACGCTTGGACATCACACTTCCACTTGCAACCGTGATATACATTGTTTATATAATACAGTTAGGATTTTAAGCTGATATGTTCCAAATTGTTTGATAATGTTATTTCCTGATTTTTATTATGTTTAAGATGATAATATTTGAATATAAGATTCCCAATTTGTGGTAGGATAAGTTATACTGATACAGATGAAATTTTGTTTTTATGATATACGAAGTATTAAGTTACAAATTAAGGTTTTGATAAGGATTCATACAAATGAATATGTTTTAAATATACTCCGTATTAATTATTTTGATAATAAAATCTATACAAAGTTCATATCAGACTGAAACTCTTTTTTTTCACTTACCATAGCAGCGCTAAAGTTTTAATATAGGAATATTAAAATTTATAAAATGCATTAGAGTAAATTACGCTTATATAGATGAAATTGTGCTTTCATGTATATATTGATTTACAAATTAAGATCTTGATAGAGATTCATACAATTTAATATGTGTTAGAGATATATTTCTTTAGATACTCTACTATGTAATATTTGCAGGTAAGGTCAATAAGTTTAGATGTCAGAGTTTGGGAACCTACTCTAATGGACCTGTTTCAAACTTTGGGTAATTCATACTGTAACTCTGTCTGGGAGGGGATGCTTGCACTTTCAAACGATGGGTATGTTACCTTATTTAGAAAATTTTACAATTCCAATACGGTATATAATACTCCATCATGTCCTATTTATATGTCCACTTTATCTAACCACACATTAGAAAAGCTAAATAACATTTTAAATTAATCATAACCTATCATTTTTTATCTTTTTTACATGTGCATTGATCTCATTTTATCCTTTTTTTTCTTTTATCTTCTTAATCTTTGTATATTTATTAGAAATAATGACATATACTATGTATAATACTACCACACTTCTAAAAGACAAAAACAAGACTTATTTTAAAACTGTACAAAAATAAGACTAATTATAAATGAATGGACACATACGCCCCTCATATATAATATGATTCAAACCCTAATTCCCAAATGACCAAATTCCAAATGTTCTCATCTCCCTCATCTCACATCAGACGAAGCTCTGTAATCTTCAAAGCTCCTCCATCGCCGCAGCACCTCCGTCGCAGTGACGCCTCTCATCTTTGCTCCAGCTCTGCCTCGAGGTGGTATTGGTGTCTCCACCGTCATCTTACGTCGTCGCCTCCACCGTCACATTCCTCATCGCTGCCCATTTTGTTCTTCTTCTCCTTTTCTTATTTTCAGTTCGATCGATTAAGCTTTGACAAGATACATGGGCAAGGTCGAACACGGGAGCACGCCATCGTCGTCCTCATTTCCAGATTTGTGATGAGGTTACTGGTGGTTAGGTTTTTGAGGTGATAGGTTGGATTGGTGTGGCGGTGGACGACCTAGATCCAGATTAGGGAGGCTGCGGCTAGGGTTGGGCTGAGGAAATAGTGGGTCTGGGAGCTTGGGAGGGGGATGGGGTAGAGGGAAGAGGTGGTGTCACCATCAGAGGCGACGGCCGCAGTGTCGGGAGCGAGGTGGCGTCAACGGCTAGTGTAGTGTGACATGGGAAGGGCTGGGGTGGTGTGGTTGGGAAGGGGTTGACTGGTGGGGCAGGGGCAAGGCGGGGGTGGATTGGCGGGGCATGGGCTGACTGGCGGGGCTGAGGCAGACTGGTAGGGCAAGGAGGGGTCAAGGTCGAGGCAGTTACGGGAAGACAGGGCGGCAATGGTCGGAGATGGCAGTGATCAATTGGTCACTAGAAGGGCAGTGATGTCACTGTGATTGGGTGATCATTGAAGCCGGTTGGTCACCGGAGCTAAGTGGTCACTGAGTCGGTGGTCATTGAGCGTTGGTAATTGTACATTGGTCACCGCGGGTGGGAGTCACTGTAAGTTTGTGCGGGTCAGAGTCTGTCACTGTACCGTTTTGGTTGCTGTAGCAAGCCTGAGCTTATTAAGGGTGTAAAGTTTCAAGTTCCAAGTTTGCACAAATGAGCAATATTCCTAAAAATTATTAGTAGTTTTTAAGTTTAAGGGGGGTGTCCTGAAAATGGATTTTGGAGGATTTTAATGGAGTTTAGAAATCCTGCAGAATTCGGGTGTCCCCGATTTGGATTTCTGTGGAATCCGTGAAAATACGGGTGTCCTCAAACATTCCATAGACTTCAATTGTTTTTTATTTGGATGGATTTTAAATGATTTTGATGGAATTGTGTATACAAAACAAATCAATTCGAAATCTTCTCAACACACATCGGATTTCAAAGGATTTGAAATAAAAAATCAAACATAAAAGAGAATTGTCCGGCTCCCCTCCCAATTGTGCCGCCGGAATGGGTCACATGTTCAAAGCAGCTCCCCGGCTCCCCTTCGAGTGCAAGTAGACGGTTGTTGTGCTGCAGATCCCAGAGAGCAGCCCTTGCAACCCCGACGCTGTAGATCCCCAGTGGCGTGAAGCTGCCCGACATCGCTGCGAGTGCAACCCAAATGTTCTTTTTCCATGCTCTTACTGGTTGTTCAATTCCATTAGATTCATGAGATGAACCACTGAGATGAAACACAGAGGCAACCTGCTATGTCAAAAAATACAACTCTCCAAGTGCTAAAATCCATCAAAGTGAAATCCAATGAATTCTACATAGAATCTGTAAAATTCTCATGAAATCCATAACACTCCATTAAATTTCACCAAATCCACAATCTTTAAAACTCCATTAAAATCCATTTTGAGGACACCCCTGTAAGTCTATGGCTTATGCAATCAAAATTGTCAATGGCTCCCCGAAATCCCCCATACTCTCGAAAAAAAAGCACAATCGATGCCAATTTCAAAACAACCAACCATTTTAGCTACTTTAGAGAGATCTTCTTTAAAAAGATCTTGGGTTTGGGAGCATTTCAAGAAATGCACCATCTCAGAAATGCAGGAAGTAGAAAAAGATGGAAAGACAGAAATGGTGGAAGTACCGCAAGTTATGTGTGATCATTCTAACTCGTTTTTCGCTTGTGACAGTACAGGCGACAGAACTAGTACGTACAATAAACACTTACTCAGACATTGCAAGTCATATAAACCAACTGATGACTTGCAAAAGGTTCTTGGTAGTTCTGGACCTTCAGGAGAATTTATAAATACACTTGTTGCTAAAGGGTGTAACTAAGAAGAAGCAATATAGAGCAATATAGGGCATTGTTGAGTATATTGTTATTGACGAGGTACCCTTTAATTTTGTTGAGAGTCCAACCCAAATTGGTTGTTCTGTTGAGAAGAACTATAGTGAGAAATTTATTCATTATGTTTGATACCATGAAAGTTCGGTTGAAAAGAGAAATACATAAGTATTGAGTGAGCTTAACTAATGACACATGGACAAATGTGCAAAATGTGAACTACATGGTGTTAACCGTACATTTTGTGGATGATGATTAGAATATGCACAAAAGAATTCTATACTTTTGTTTGTTTTCAAGTCATAGAGGTAAAGATATAGGGAAACAATGCTCATTGAGGAGTGCTTGATTGAGTGGGAAGTTGAGAATGTGATGTGCATCTCAGTTGACAATGCAACCGCCAATAAAGTGGCAATTGAGTATGTTGTTAAAAAAATCAGAAATGGATGAATACTAAAATGATAATGAATGGCAAGTTTATGAATGTGAGGTGCTTGACTCATATTATCAACTTGGTGGTGAAAGACAGATTGAAATGCTTGGAAACAAGTGTGGAATCTCTAAGAAATGTTGTGCGGTTTGTGTGATCTTGTCCTTGAAGGTTTACGTATTTCAAGAAATGCTTAGAGAATGAGAACGTGAGAAGTTGGATAGTAGGGGTTTAGTTGTGATGGATGTACCTACTAGGTGGAATATTACGCACATGATGCTTGAATCTTGCTTGAAGTTTAAAAAGGGATTTGGATGTCCGAAGATGATGAATCTTGGATATACTCCTCTTAATTGGACGAAAAGATGTTCAATGATGAAGGAGAAGAAGTGCCAAGCAAAGAGAGGGTTGGACCACCAAATACTGTTGATTGGGATGGTGCAAAAGTGTTTGTGATGTTCTTGAAGGCTTTCTATCTTGCCACTTTGAAAGTTAGTGTAAGTACCCCACATTTAATACCATGGAGAATGAGAAGTTTTTTTTGCCAAAAAATATGCTACCTACATCCAAGGTAGAACAAGTTCCACATGATATGATGATGAACATGAGAGCCAAATATCGAAAATATTTTGATTTTATTATTTCTCTTAATCAAGTATTTGTAGTACCCCCATTTTAGATCCAAGATTCAAATTGAGGCACTACATGCACTTATGTAGGAATCAATTAAAGTTGGCTGAGGATGAGATTGTAAAGAAAAGTGATGAAGTGAAGACATTGTTAAAGAAATTGTGCGATGAATATGGTCATCATTTTGGCTCACAGCCCCAACATAAGAATAGAGAAGGTGTAGGTTCAAGTGGGAAGCAATCATGTTCAAGTGTGACAACTGAAGATCCAATGAGATTTAGTAAAATGATGGATGATTGGGAGGAGTTAGAAGACATTGGGCATATTGCACTTGCACATGAGTTGGATAGATATCTTCTTGACACATTAGAGAAAACACCTTATGGGAAACACCCTATGGCTGTACGTTTGATAGCAAAAGACATGTTTCCGATTCAAGCATCAACAATTGCAAGGGAGAGTACTTTTAACACAGGGAAGAGAGTCATGGACCCATTTAGATCATCCCTTCTTCCTCAAACAATGGAGTCACTAATATGTCTCCAAAATTGGTTAAGGAGTGAGCCAATTACAAATATTGAGTATGAAGCGACCCCGACAGAACTTGAGTTTATATCGAGAGTGTGAAGAAGGTAATAATTTATTTGTGTGAAGTGTTCGTTCGTTTTATCTTAATTGATTTATATTTCATTTTTATACATTCTTTTTTACCGAATATAAACAGAGAAGAGCATCACAAAATGCAATTACAAGCTCTATCTCAAATGAAGATAACGTGCCTCAAACAACAAATGATAAAGGAAAAGAGATCACGATAACTCCTTGATATTGATAGTTTAAGACTTAACAACTAGATCCCTACTATCAAACTTCCCATTCTCTAAGCATTTCTTGAAATACGTCAACCTTCGAGGACTTGATCGTACAAACCACACACAACATTTCTTAGAGATTCCACACTTGTTTCCAAGCATTTCAATCCGCCTTTCACCAAGTTGATAATATGAGTCAAACACCTCACGTGCATAAACTTGTCATTCATTATCATTTTAGTATTCAAACATTTCTGCATTTTTCGAACAACATACTCAATTGCCACTTTAGTGGTAGATGCATTGTCAATTGAGATATACATCACATTCTCAATTTCCCACTTAATCAAGCACTACTCAATTTGTTTCCCTATATCTTTACCTCCATGAATTGAAATCATACTAAAGTTTAGAACCCTTTTGTGCATATTTCAATCATCATCTACAAAATGAGCAGTTAAAACCATGTAGTTCAAATTTTGCGCATTTGTCCACGTGTCAATTGTTAAGCTCACTCTATGCTTACATATATCTCTTTTCAACTGAAGTTTCATGGTATCAAACATTGTGCATAAATTTCTCACTATAGTTCTTCTCGACGGAACAACC